GGTGCACAAATATTTCAGAATACTTTATTTAGGGGAGTGCAAACATTCATTATTATTTTGATGTGTAGGGTGCACAAATATTTCAGAATACTTTATTTAGGGGTGGTGCCAAAAACATTCCATGATTATTTTTGAGTGTTTAAGGCTGAAAAAAAAAACACATGTATTCCCAAATGAATTTGCCTATGAAAACGAATCATAAAGGACTTTCCCCCCCCAAAAAAAATCTACCTATGTATTAACGAAATGAATTGCTAATTGAAAAACGAATACTAAAGGGAACTTTCCAAAAAAAAAAATCACCTATGTATTCACGAATGAATTGCCTAATTGAAAACGAATACATAAAGGGAACTTTCCAAAAAAAAAATCACCTATGTATGCACGAATGAATTGCCTAATTGAAAACGAATACATAAAGGGAACTTTCCAAAAAAAAATCACCTATGTATTCACGAATGATTTGCCTAATTGAAAACGAATACATAAAGGGAACTTTCCAAAAAAAAAATCACCTATGTATTCACGAATGAATTGCCTAATTGAAAACGAATACATAAAGGGAACTTTCCAAAAAAAAAATCACCTATGTATTCACGAATGAATTGCCTAATTGAAAACGAATACATAAAGGGAACTTTCGAAAAAAAAACACACCTATGTATTCACGAATGAATTGCCTAATTGAAAACGAATACTAAAGGGGAAAAACGGAAAAAAAACGGGGAAAAAAAGTTGGCGTACTTTATTACGGGGGGGGTTTATTAATTTGAACCGGGAGTTGGCGTACTTTATTGTGGGGGGGTTTATTAACGCCATGTTGACATTAGATCGATAGATCGATAGATCGATAGATCGATAGATCGATAGATCGATAGACAGATCGATAGACAGATAGATAGACAGATAGACAGATAGATAGACAGATAGATGGACAGATAGATAGACAGATAGACCGGCAGATAGATAGGTAGGTAGATAGATGGGTAGCTAGATAGATAGATAGGCAGATAGATATAGATAGGTAGATAGATAGATCGGTAGATAGATAGATAGATAGATCGATCGATGGATAGATAGATAGATGGATAGATAGATAGATAGATGCGCAAAATGGTTGGGCACTTAAATTTCTAGCTGGACAAGCGCATGGACAGATAGATGGATAGATAGAAAGACAGGGGGAAAGACAGACAGATAGACAAGTCAGTAGATAGATCAGCAAATCTCGAAAAAACACATGTAAAGAAAGATAGGTAGACAGATAGACACATAGATAGGCACATGGAAAGATAGATAGACGGCTAGCTAGATAGATAGATAGATAGATAGGTAGCTAGATAGATAGATAGATAGATACACAGATAGATAGACAGACAGATAGATAGACAGACAGACAGATAGATAAATAGATCGGTCGATCGATAGATAGATGGCTAGCTAGACAGCTAGACAGATCGATAGGAAGACAGACAGACAGATGTGGTTTTGCGTGGCAAGCGCAAGCGATTTGTCTCGCAGAATTGTTTCATTTTTGACGTTGCCAAATTCAAAAAATGAGGAAGTCTCGCAGAATTGCTGCGTTTTTGATGTTGTCAAGTTCAAAAGCTGAGGAAGTCTCGCAGAATAGCTTCACTTTCAAGCTTCCAGAAAGAAAGAAAGAAAGACAGACATATAGATAGATAGAGAGACAACCACTACCACTACCACTACACTGCCACTACTACTACTGCTGCTGCTGCTGCTACGACTACT